GTCATCTACGAAAGAAAATAACAATCAACTTGATTTCGGCACGGCTTTCTAAATATATTAATTTGATTCAGTCTTGAACGACTTTATTCGCTAAAAAAGTTAAATTAAACAAAAAAAAAATAAAACAGGAACGAAGTCTGATTCCTCAGTCTAACCGTTTCGTCAGTGACTAGTTTGAGTGCATTTCATTCGTTCATGGTTAAACGGGAACTCATTGTAAACAACTCCATCGTTGGGTCGCTTGATCTCTACATTTTTTCGCCATAACTTCTGATAACTCCGTTCAAAATGCATTGCAACTCTAAGAAGGTGGTGCTCAAAAGAGGTGTACTGTCATGATTGAGAAGAATATTCAGTAAACAAGGGAAAGAACGGCGACGATTTCAATTCCAAATTATACTTTACAAAATTATGAAGAAAAACGAGTAGTGCTGAAATCTAGAAGCACGAGACGAAATGACAGCGATACAAATCATAGAAAAAAATTATTTAGTGGGCTTCAAAATTTGATAGATGAATCTGCAGACTCGAGACTTAGCTGGAATGAAATAATTTCAAAGTTTAATCGCCCATGTGGATTCATATTAACAACTCACTTGAAGTAACTATCCTCGGTTTGTGCTTGTTTCACTCTCAAAGAAGATAATTTCGTTGTCCTTCAAGCGGTCTGTGAAACCGAAAATTTAAAGCTGATAATGATTCTAAAGAGCCAAGGTTAGGATATTCAAGAACAAATATAACGTGGACGATTCGTTGAAACGAATGCTAAGTCACTTTTCAACACAACGCGATGGCGTTCTCGACCCAGTTTTTTCTCGGCATTTTTGCTGCGCGCGCCGTTCTGAAATGACGTTCCCGTCCTCTTGCTAAACTCTATTAACAGGGTAAATAGGCGCCGTCCGCTAAATTGCATATTTAATTTCGTTAGGTAATTCTCGATGGTAAGAGTTTGGTATTAACTCCTATATTGCTTTGTTAGTATACAACCCACAAAATTAATAATCAGGAGACAGACGAAACTTTTTCTTTTTTGTAAAATGCAAGGAAAGTTTACGATTTGGCGCGCTTCGCAATGTATGGGCGCGAACAAGTGCTGCCCGTGTAGCGGTCGGGGAGTTCCTAAAGCAGAAAGTTCGGTGACGCTTTTTGTGGGTAAACATATGGTTTTTTGGAATTCATGCTGTTATAACCCCTCTTAACTTAAAATATAAAGTAAGGCAGTCTTGCAGATGTATCAGTGCAAAGGTTGCGGGAAGGCTGGCAGTCACCAGCACACGTATGGCCATATTTCTTCGAGTTGAGTTTAACCTTGAGCTGGTTCCATAGGATTTTTGCTCAACGTTAGCGCACGCGCCAGCGTATTGTTTTTCAAGAAAATATTTTGTTTTCGCTTTTCTATGTCATTAAAATACATCCAAAGGCAATTAGCAAGGTTCGGACTATCGTTCACTGTATTATATATATAAAAAAAATTATTTTCGTCATTAATGATTAAGCTGAGGCTCCACGAAGGGAGGCGCTCGCTAGTAATAATTTGGCTTTGCTTTTGATTTTCTTCAATTTTCTTCGGGGAAATCTCTCAAAATTTTCACAAGTTTCGAAAATTGTCTTGCCGAATATTTAAAAGAAGAGGGTTACAAAGGTAGTTTTCTCGCTATTTGCAATCTTGTTTTCTTCCTCTATCTCAAATTTGTCCTATGAATTTTTTTCATTAACAGGTACCAGGAAGGGCACAAATATATTTAACGGTCCAGCAAACATTCAGGTCTCCAGGAAATTCCACAGAGGGGAGCGCGATAAATTTTACTTGAAAGATCTCTATTTTCTTTGTCGCAAAACATTACGTAATGGAATAGAACTTTGCCAAGATCGGTATCTGAGCATGCGTAGACTTTCGAATCGCGGACAACGAGTATTCATTTGGCATTTAATTTCAGACTTGCGAAATTCTTGGACATCGAACATAAGCACTACTGGACATCAGTGGCCCTGTATTCTATTGTTGCCCTGTGAAAGATAATAAGGTACATACCTTTAAGCGATTCATTTCGAGGAATCCTTGCAAGCATCATCGAAATGCTGCACTATGGAGAATATAAAGAAGATCTTAGAGCCCGTTTTGTAAGTTGTTCTTTTTCCTCGCAGCTGTCTTCGTAATTCGGTTTTCGCTGAACAAATTTTGTAGCCTTTTCTTAACAATTCCCCCCTTGTTTTCATTATTTTGAGGTCTTCTCGAAGCAACCGAACGCGCCGCGGGTGTTATGTTGGCCTTTTTCAGGCGTAAAAGGCCTACAAATTGCCAGAGTCCCAGAGTCCATGATGCGGATATATTTTTTACACACCTCTTGTGATAAGAATCGTGCGATCGTATCGAGCCGCCACATTTGTTTTGCTCGGCGATATTTTTAGAGCTCGCGCCATGTTCGGGTCCAGATCTCGCGCGATCAAAAAAACCCTACGAAGCCACTTTAAACAACACTCTCAGAAGTATTCTCTTAGGTAAAGCTAATCCTCGGCAGCATTCTAATACGCACACCCTATGGGAAATAATGTAAAAGAAAACATTTTTACCCTTCCCTCTAACTAAATCGGATTCCACCCCTTCATAGATTCACTTCGCCTCATGCTATTCCCTAAGTGTGTTAAGAAGTTTAATTACTTAGAATCTGCCACAACACCGACAAGTCTACGCTTGACAAAAAGTTATCTTTTCCCAACTTTACGCATTTTTACAGCGAGTTTTCCCTCCTCGCGTACCACGCTCACTAATATCCTCCTTCATTCCTCGGCTTTGAACATTATCATATACACGCAAGTCCCTAAAACGGATCAATTAAATTCCAAAGTAATAAAATGGGTAAAAATATTAATCCAAGCCACAAATTAATGTCTATTCAAAGGACAACTTTTACTCTGTCACTTTCTGTTATCGTAGCTATGAATTACACCATATTGTTTTCATAATTTTTTGTGACTTTAAGTTCTCTCTCAAGCTATTTTCATTTTCTGTCTAGATTAGGTTAAAAAAAAAAAGGTTGAAAAAAGGATGAATGGGTATTCGTTTCTGTTTCAAAGTTTTTATTTCCTAGAAACTGTGAACATTACACATATCAGATACCTACAGACTATGATTAAATCTTGTGGATATTGTCATAACATCCACAAGATTTAATCATAAACATGGCGTATGGCAACCACCGTTACATCATGACGCTAAGTTAATGTTGCCTCGTAGCAATCACGCAACACTTAATACTCAGGATAATAAAGAAATAAATCAGAGATTTATGCAAAAGGCCTCATTCCTGTAATTACGGTATATGCAAGCTTTTGGGTTACATAGCTTTCCATGTTTGTACAAATGCAAACTTCAAATTGATAGAATAATGATATTTTAATAGCGTCGGTGTACTGCTAAACATGCTCTCTAGCCATACAAAGTAAACTGTCTCAGCACATATAGCCCTAAAGGTAACAAGTCTACAGTTTTAATAATAATAAAGTGGTGATTTTTATTGCAAGTATCCTTACCTCAAACGGGCCACACTATGATCAAGTGAAACAATAAAACGGGACTATGCTTAAAGGGGCTTAGTTTCTGGGGCTAATTTGTTAGAAAAATAAAAAGTAGAGTTTAAAATAAAGAGAGGATGTTGCGCAGTAGTATTTTCTTGTCTTCGCTAAAAAGCCTTTCGAAGACTACAAGTCCAATTTATAGGGAACAAAAACAAACTCCACAAACGTCAATTAAGAACGTAAAGATTTCCACTTTATCTCCGATAAGATGTCGTGTACACTGTTATTGAAAAGATAGCTCTTTGTATTCTACTCAAATACAACTGGTCGTTGTTGAGTTCTTCGTATGTTAATGATGTTTAACAGCAAATTGAGTCTATTCTTTCGGTTGTTTATATTTTCGTTTACGGATATCTGTTTTTTTTTTAGTGTAAACTTAATTTTGTTAGGATCAACGTTCTGATAACTGCCAAAAGTTTTTCTCTATTTCCTTTATCTTACCTTTATTCTATTTTTTCTATCTTTACTCCATGATATTTTTGTTTATTAATGTCGGTTTTTAATGTATGATATTAATTTTGTTGGGATTAACGCTTAGAAAATAGCGAAGATGTTTTACTCGATTCAGCGTTCTCAGGAACATAACATTACTTATCGAGTAGCAGTTACATGGACGACATTGGAGCTAAATGGTAAAATTCGCACAAGGCTGCTCCGATAGACGTTAATACAAATCAAACAAATGCATGGATTTACAGCACTCCAAGCATGAACCATAAAGAAAGAAAAGAATGGAATCCACGTGTGAAATGAGCACGCTTGCAGGTCGTCAGTCCAGTTCCAAATAAAAATCATGGTGAACATGTAAACAAAAAGTGGGGTCGTGCAAATAAAAAAAGCAATTATTATAGCTGCTGACATTCGGATAGTTTTACGGAGCTTCTGATCCCGTTGGCGTTGTATGCAAGATAATTCCCTTTGTCTTCTTTTGTTGTTATTACTTAAAGTCCACGCGATGATGCCGTACACAAAGACCAAGAGGCAGAAAGGCACTAAAAAGAAAATGATATATGTTGCTGTGACAAACTTCTTGTGTGTCTCTAGGTGATCTGCTATTGTAGGTTCCCAAAGCTGTTTGCAATATGCTTCGTTTTGGTCGGAGAACAATTGAAAAGTGTAAAAATAAGGTGCATGAAGAGCAGACGCGATAAGCCATGTGCACGAGATGGCAGTCAATCTTACCTTTGGGGAGATGAGACTGGCTTTAAACGGAAAGACTACAGCTAAGAGCCTGTCAAATGAGATCAATAGAAGGGTCTGGATAGAGACTATTAACGAAACATCTGGAAGAAAGTAGCAAAGTTTGCACAAAATATTTCCGAGTAGCCATGGATTGGAAACTTTCCAGGAGTCAGATCCTGAGATTATCTGAACGACTGTGATAGGCATGATGGTGAAAGGGTTAAATAGATCGGAAAAGGCCATGTTAAAGACGAAGAAGTTGATGGGTGACCTTCGCAGCTGTCTGTTTTTGTAGAAGATTAATAAAACCAGGACATTCCCGACGAAGGAAACCACGAGAATCAAGGAGTAAGCTATGGCTTTCCAAGCTTTTTCGGCCTGGCCATTTCTTGGAACGCAATCTTGGTCAGTGGTGCTTTGAGCTGCTGCATGTTCCGCGTCGGATGAAAAGGTCTTGTTTAGTAGTCCCCAGCTTGAATTTCCAATCATCATTAAGCGAGGGGTTTTGTATGATCAAAGATCGATTATCCTTGTGTTCAGTTGAACTCGATATGACGAACTTTAAACCGTGCTTTACCGCCTGCGCTGAAAAAGTGGTCTGAAAAACGAATATTAGGTTTGCTTTTAAAGGCTTTGCGTCTTCCATAATTTGTGCTTGACTCGATGATCTCTTCAACCCATTTATTTCACGCTTTTTGTACTGTAGAGAAGAACCTGGCAGGCTTTAAGTTACAAATCTGTTTTCTTGGTTGAAAGTGGGGAAAATAGCCTTTTAGTTAAGTGCATATTTTTCATATAAGATTTCAAATATCAACTTACTTATTGGTACAAGTCTCATTTTCTCATTGCGGAACTTAGGAAGGCAGATAAATGAGAATAGAACCAAGCACATCACGCCTTCAAAATGCAAGTTCAAAACCTTAAGGCGAAAGTAAATTCTCCGCTTAAAGTGTACTAGAGTCCTAGTTTGCCGCAGTTCTTGCTAAGATGTCCACTTGAATTATTTCAAAAGCTTCCGCTCGTTTCCTTTCCCTAGAGACCCTGAACAAGAGCTCGATGCGACATAGTCACTCAGGCTCATTTAAAGCAAACAATCATATATTTGTGCCTCACTAAGCACCTACCCTGCCAGTTCTTTTATGTTTTCAGTTGAATTGAGCGAAAATGCCTAGTTTCGTGACGATTCCCTCCAAATGTCTAACACAGGTCGTTTTCCGTAATAGAGAGCAACTCATCAGGAGCGTGAGCAATTTGACAGCTATATGTTGTTATTCAAGCTTTATTGATTTGCTACAAATAGATATTTGTTTTTTCCAAGCAAAGTTTAAAATTTATCCAGCATGGTTGTGGCCTTAAAAACAAATCCTTAAAGTGAAACGTATCCGGTACTCAAATGAAAAGAGTCTCTTACACAAGAGTTTAACGAGAGGTACTTCCATACGATCTATCTGCTTTACTGATGGAAAAACTTTACAACCTGTCTTAGCTGGCTGGTTCACTTTTGCTTTAAAAGTGGTTCAGTTACCAATAAATGTTAGAAAGAGGAAGTATACTTTATGGAGGACTTAAAGTAATGCAAACATGGAAGAGCACAAAATATGTTTTTTAAAAATATAAATTGTCCACTAAGGATAATGACGTTCAATTTCATTAACTGAAATTTTTATTCAACAGAAGAACTAAAGCGTAAATAACGTTGAACTATACATCTTGCCTGTCACTTTTTTTCGTAGGTCAGATCTTTTTCTCAATTAGACATGCTGAAGCGTCCAAAAAATTATTCAGTAGTGAGTCACCTGTTAACTTAACTTTTCCATTAGGGAGACAGATGTTTCCTCATGATACGTACAAGAAGACTCTTGCACTTGAGCCAAAATGTTTGAGTTCGCCTAATGACAACATTTGAGTGGGAATCCTGAGGTACGGATAAAAATATTGAGTTGAAGGGCTTGTTGAAAACTGCTTACAACTCATGCCTTCGTAAAAGGCTTACTTTGGTGAAACCTCATTACTTTTTACTATAATTTTTTTCTTTTCTAAATGTAGGAAGTCGAGCTCAAACAAATACTATGTCTTGTATGTTTTTTTTAATATATCACTTTTCTACATCTTACACACAAATGTTAACTTTGAATTTGCTTTCATGAAATATCTGATATCAGCCATTGTACCTCCTATGTCTACCGTGTGATGCCGTCCGTTTAATACTTACTTCCTGTCTCCTCTTTCCGACAACAACTTTGTTTAAACACATTATCTCGCAAATTAACACCCGTAGATTAATCAGTACCACGCGGTATTCGAATTTCTCAAATAAGTTTCCTCATCACCTTTTTGGAAAACGGGAAACGACATATATTTATTCTACTTTTCCATTTAATTCCAAAAACCCTGAAGAAAATCAATCTATAAATGTCTTATTCATAAGTTATTTTTGTTTCAATTTACAAGCGGCTGAGAGCAGATATCCAGGCGCTTCAATTTTGTAGTTGATTGTTTGCCCTAGACGACGCAATACAACTCCTTATTACTTTGATAATGCTCGGATTTTCTATTGCTGGCAAGGATCCACCATAAAAAAGGAAAAAAGTCGGGAGGTGAGCAGAAACGATATATGCGTAATTCCTAGAAAAAAATCGTAATTGCATGATGTTCGCTCTAAGTTACTGGTATCGAGCTTTAGTCAAGCTATGTTCTGTTTGGTGCTCCCTTAAGGAAGCTCCATGGGACTTTGGCTCAATGTTGGCGCGCGCGCCATTTTTTTTTATTTTTTATTTTATTTTTATGTTTTCACTTTTCAAGGTCACTAAGAGCCATCGAAAGGCAACGAGCAACGTTCGGACCATCGTTTACTTTGGCAAATATTATCAAAATGATTTACGTTATTAAGCTAAGGCTCCAAGAAGGGAGGCGCTCGCCAAAGATAATTTGGCTTTACGTTTGATTTTCTTCTATTTGCTTCGATGAAATCTCTCATAATTTTCACAGTTTGTGCAGATCATTTAAAAGCAAAAAAATAAATATATAAAGTAAGGCTTACTTTGTGTTTTCTTCCTATATCTCAAATTTGATCACATGGATTTTTTTTATCAAGATATAGAGGCACTAGGAAGGCCACAAATATGTTTAACGGTCCAGCAAATCTTAGGAAATTCCACCGAAGGAAATGTGATAAATCTTACTCGAAAGATCCCTATTTTCTTTGTCGCAAAATATTAACTTCCCCAAGGTCGGTATGTGAGTATGCGTAGACTTTCGTAGACTGTGCGATATCTTTCCCACGGTGTTTTCTTTTCGGTTGACCTCTTTTTCAGGCTTAGAGGGTCTATGAATATTACGGGTGCATTTGCTGAAAACCCTAGATTCCATCACAAACTGTTTCTAACACATCTTTTCAGATGACAATCGTGCGATCGTATCGAGCGGCCATGTTTGTTTTCTATGTTGACACCTATATGGCCCGTGCTATGTGCCCACCCAGATATCGCGCGGTCAAAAAAACCCTATGGAGCCTCCCTAAACAGGAACAACAAAATTGACTTTTTTTACCGATACAATTTTAAAACACCTCAAATTTCATCAACCAATTTTTCCCCGACACCTCATAGTCTAAAATATGGATGGGAAACGAATGTTACCCTAACAGAAGTGCATCCAGCATCTCCTCTGGGTTTGATAGTTCACACCACCTGAAATTTAGGTGAACTCAGTGTGAAACTAATCATAGTATCCAATTTTCCTTATCAATTCAGTTAATGAAATTAAATTAACCTGCACAAGAGATTATTCTCTTGACTCGTAATACTCCCATGGCCACTGACGCCGAACCACAGTTTCTTCTAAAACTTACACCCTCTGAAAAATGAAAATAGGATTTGTTAATGAAATGGGAATGGACTAAGAAGTTCATTGACACATATCACAACACGAGGTAAATTAGTAGCTTTTCAGCCAAACACTTCATTTATGTGGGTAAAACCGATCCAAGATTTCTTTTTGATATTTCTTTATATAAACCGCAAACGATTGTTTCTTTGGACTCTCGTGAGTATATTGATCACTTCTATGTAGCATTGAATTTAAATATACAGTTTAAAATATAATTAAAATAAAATCAGTATGGTTTACGGATATCGTCTTCAGGCATGCAGATTACTTTTTGCACAAATCTCCATGAACGTCGCGCAATTTAAAACCAAATTCAAAGAAGAAGGGAACATGGGTACTTACCCATTTATTTCCACAAAAATAATCTCTATTTAAATATCAGCCCATCAAAGTTTAATTTTGGGGACTGCTGAAAAATAACTAAACAAACATATCGGTGCATCGTCGTCAACATTGATTTTAACAACTACTTACGCAGCTAAGGGTCACAATCAGCCAGTTTAATTTGGGCATCAGACTTGCGTAGAACGACATTTTTGAATCCTTAGTGCTAACGTAGCGGGATTCATCGATAGATCCAAAGTCTGTGTATGATTTACAGTTGACCACAGAGAGCAGAGCAATTTCTTCAGAGTGTCTCGATAGGTCTTAATGAATATAAAGCAAATGCAAGGATTAACAGCACTCCATGCGTGCAACATGAAAGAGGCAATGAACGGGATCGTTGTGCGAAAAGCGCAATTCGGCGGCACTTCCCAATTCCAAACAAATATGCGTGTAAAGATAAAAACAAGCTGTGGAATCATGCAGAAAGCGAAAGCTGCTACAATAGCTACAGAGCTACAAACAATTTTTTTGCTTTGTTTGCCAAGTTTCTTTTGATGATTACTCGACTCTTGCTCCATTTTCTTTCGCTCTTGGCACAAGCTCCAAGCTATTACACTGTACACGATCACCAGGACACAGATTGGCACTAACACAAAAGTAATAAACGTTGCTGTGACAAATCGTTTGTGTGTTTCCACATGATTAAAGGTTGGTCCCCAATTGGCGACACAGTAAGTTTTGTTTTCGTAAAGCTGTAGCCTGAAAGTGTAAAAATAAGGTGCATGAACTGCGATGGCGATGATCCATGCACAGAGGATACTCATTAGATGAACTTTCGGTGAAAGATATCTTGTCCTAAGCGGAAAGACAACAGCGATAAGTCTGTCCAGCGATATCAACAGCAGGCTTTCAATTGATACTGCAACAGAAACATCGGGGAGAAAGAAGGAAAGTTTGCAAAGGAAGTTTCCTAACAACCACGGGTCGTCAACTTTCCAAGTATCAGATCCTGAGACAATCTCAACGAATGTTACCGGCAGGATTGTCAACGGATTTAATATATCAGACACAGCCATATTAAAGACAAAGTAGTTTATAGATCTCCTCAGCTGCTTGTTCTTGTAAATAGCCAAAAGGATGCCGCCATTTCCGATCAAAGATACAACGAAAATGCAAACATAGGCCAGAGCTTTGAAAGCAGTGGTCGCTCTGCTTGGTTCCCCAAAGCAGTCTTGCACACTGTTATTCTTTGTTCCATTCATATCAGTTATAACTAGGCCCTATGTTCAATATTTTTTTGGAGTTTGAAAAAACAGTGCTCTTTTGAAGGTTTTCCTCCGTTTGACTGAAGACACA